ATACCAACAAGTGTTGGATGACATACGAACAACTGAGGAGGAGGTGAAGAAGCTCTTAAGTGACCTTGACACCTCAAAGGCGATGGGACCAGACAACATCTCCCCATGGGTCCTTAGAGAAGGAGCAGAGATGCTGTGCGTGCCTCTAACCACAATCTTCAACACATCCCTTGAAACTGGGCAACTACCTGAGAAATTGAAGACAGCTAATGTAGTCCCCATATTTAAGAAAGGAAACAGAAACAAGGCATTAAACTACAGACCTGTGTCTCTGACATGTATTGTGTGCAAAGTCATGGAGAAGATTATCAGGAGGAGAGTGGTCGAACACCTGGAAAGGAACAAGATTATAAATGAAAACCAACATGGATTCATGGAAGGCAAATCTTGTATCACAAACCTCCTGGAGTTTTATGACAAGGTAACAGAAGTAAGACACGAGAGAGAGGGGTGGGAAGATTGCGTTTTCCTAGACTGCAAGAAGGCCTTTGACACAGTTCCCCACAAGAGATTAGTGCAGAAGCTGGAGGATCAGGCGCATGTAAAAGGGAGGGCACTGCAATGGATAAGGGAATACCTGACAGGGAGGCAGCAACCAGTCATGGTACGTGAAGAGGTATCACAGTGGGCGCCTGTTACGAGCGGGTTCCCACAGGGGTAATTCTAGAACCAGTGCATTTTTAAATGGAAGCCCTGAGGGAAGGAAAAATCTGAGGGTCCCGTTGGACTGAGTTGAAGTGAGAGTGTTGACTGGTGTGCGAGTGTTGACTGAGTGATTTTTTGACTGAGGTGAGGAGTGTTGACTGAGTGAGTGTTTTGTTGAATGAGACTGAGTGAGTGTTGACTGAGTAGAGTGTTGACTGAGGAGTATGTGGTGGGGAGTGTTGACTGAGTGAGATGTTGACTGAGTGAGTGTTGACTGAGTGAGTGTTGACTGAGTGTTGACGAGTGTTGGGACTGAGTGAGAGTGTTGAACTGAGTGAGTGTTGACTGGTGAGTGTTGACTGAGTGAGAGTGTTGACTGAGTGAGTGGTTGACTGAGTGAGTGTTGACTGAGTGAGAGTGTTGATTGAGTGAGTGTTGACTGAGTGAGAGTGTTGACTGGTGAGTGTTGCTGAGTGAGAGTTTTGGGACTGAGTGAGTGTTTGACTGAGTGAGAGTGTTGATTTGAGTTTGGTGTTGACTGAGTGAGAGTGTTGACTGAGTGGGGTGTTGACTGAGTGAGTGTTACGGGTGGTGTTGACTGAGGGGAGTGAGTTGAGAGTGTTGACGATGAGGTGGTTAAATGAGTGAGTGTTGACTGAGTGAGAGTGTTGATTGAGTGAGTGTTGACTGAGTGAGAGTGTTGACTGAGTGAGTGTTGACTGAGTGAGAATTGACTGAGTGAATTGACGAGTGAGGGGTTGACTGAGTGAGAGTGTTGACTGAGTGAAGGGGTTGACTGAGGAGGTTGACGGATGGGGTGTTGACTGAGTGGGGTGTTGACTGAGTGAGGTTGACTGAGTGGAGTGTTGACTGAGTGGAGTGTTGACTGAGTGAGTGTTGACTGAGTGAGTGTTGACTGAGTGAGTGTTGACTGAGTGAGTGTTGACTGAGTGAGAGTGTTGACTGAGTGAGTGTTGACTGAGTGAGAGTGTTGACTGAGTGAGTGTTGACTGAGTGAGTGTTGACTGAGTGAGTGTTGATGAGTGAGAAAGTGTTGATGGTGAGATGTTGACTGAGTGATGAGTGTTGACTGGGAGTGTTGACTGAGTGTTGACGAGTGTTGACTGAGTGAGTGTTGACTGAGTGAGAGTGTTGACTGGTGAGTGTTGACTGATTGGAGTGTTGACTGAGTTTTTGACGAGTGTTGACTGAGTGTTGATGGTGTTGACTGAGTGAGGTGTTGACTGAGTGAGTGTTGACTGAGACTGTGAGTGTTGCCCTGAGTGAGTGTTGAGAGCGAGTGTTGGCTGAGTGAGTGTTGAATGAGTGAGAGTTTTTGATGAGGGGAAGTGTTGACTGAGTGAGTGTTGACTGAGGTTGCTGAGTGTTGACTGAGTGAGAGTGTTGACTGAGTGAGTGTTGACTGAGTGAGTGTTGACTGAGTGAGAGTGTTGACTGAGTGAGGGTGTTGACTGAGTGAGTGTTGACTGAGTGAGAGTGTTGATTGAGTGAGTGTTGACTGAGTGAGAGTGTTGACTGAGCGTTGACTGAGTGTTGACTGAGTGTTGACTGAGTGTTGACTGAGTGAGAGTGTTGACTGAGTGAGTGTTAAACGAGTAGAGTGTTGATGAGGAGTGTTGACTGAGTGAGATTTGACCTGAGTGAGGTGATGATTTTGGGACTGAGTGAGAGTGTTGACTGAGTGAGAGTGTTGACTGAGTGAGGTGTTGACTGAGTGAGAGTGTTGATGAGTGAGTTTTTGATGAGTGAGAGTGTTGACTGAGTGAGGGGTTTGATGAGTGAGACATTGACTGAGTGAATTTGACTAAAGGGAGAGTGTTTGACTGAGTAGAGTTTTGACTGAGTGAGAGGTGATGAGTGAGTGTTGACTGAGTGAGAGTTTTGATGAGTGAGGTTTTGATGAGTGAGTGTTGGATTGAGTGTTGACTGAGGGGTGTTGCGATGAGTGTTGACTGAGGGGAGTGTTGACTGAGTGAGAGTGTTGACTGAGTGAGTTTTGACTGAGTGAGGTGTTGACTGAGTGAGGTTGACTGAGTGAGAGTTTTTGACTGAGTGAGTGTTGATTGAGTGAGTGTTGACTGAGTGAGTGTTGACTGAGTGAGAGTGTTGACTGAGTGAGAGTGTTGACTGAGTGAGTGTTGACTGAGTGAGTGTTGACTGAGTGTTGACTGAGTGTTGACTGAGTGAGTGTTGACTGAGTGAGAGTGTTGACTGAGTGAGTTTTGGGACTGATGAGTTGACTGAGTGTTGACTGAAGTGTAGACGGTTTTGGGGACTGTAGTGAGTGTTGATGAGTGAGAGTGTTGACTGAGTGAGTGTTGACTGAGTGAGTGTTGATGAGTGGGGTTTTGTTGCTGAGTGAGTGTTGACTGAGCGAGTGTTGGCTGAGTGAGTGTTGACTGAGTGAGAGTGTTGACTGAGTGAGTGTTGACTGAGTGAGTGTTGACTGAGTGTTGACTGAGTGTTGACTGAGTGTTGACTGAGTGAGAGTGTTGACTGAGTGAGTGTTGACTGAGTGAGTGTTGACTGAGTGAGAGTGTTGACTGAGTGGAGTGTTGACTGAGTGGAGTGTTGACTGAGTGAGAGTGTTGACTGAGTGAGTGTTGACTGAGTGAGTGTTGACTGAGTGAGAGTGTTGACTGAGTGAGTGTTGACTGAGTGAGTGTTGACTGAGTGTTGGGACTGAGTGAGAGTGTTGACTGAGTGAGTGTTGACTGAGTGAGAGTGTTGACTGAGTGAGAGTGTTGACTGAGTGAGTTTTGGGACTGAGTGAGAGTGTGATTGAGTGAGTGTGATGAGGGAGAGTGTTGACTGAGTGAGTGTTGATTTGAGTGAGGCATTGATGAGTATTGACTGAGTGAGAGTGTTGACTGAGTGGGAGTGTTGACTGAGTGAGTGGTGACTGAGTGAGTGTTGACTGAGTGAGAGTGTTGACTGAGTGAGAGTGTTGACTGAGTGAGTGTTGACTGAGTGAGTGTTGACTGAGTGAGAGTGTTGACTGAGTGAGTGTTGACTGAGTGAGTGTTGACTGAGTGAGAGTGTTGACTGAGTGAGTTTTGACTGAGTGAGAGTGTTGACTGAGTGAGTGTTGACTGAGTGTTGACTGAGTGAGAGTGTTGACTGAGTGAGTGTTGATTGAGTGTTGACTGAGTGAGTGTTGACTGAGTGAGAGTGTTGACTGAGTGAGAGTGTTGACTGAGTGAGTGTTGACTGAGTGTTGACTGAGTGAGTGTTGACTGAGTGTTGACTGAGTGAGTGTTGACTGAGTGAGTGTTGACTGAGTGAGAGTGTTGACTGAGTGAGTGTTGACTGAGTGAGTGTTGACTGAGTGAGTGTTGACTGAGTGAGTGTTGACTGAGTGTTGACTGAGTGAGTGTTGACTGAGTGTTGACTGAGTGAGAGTGTTGACTGAGTGAGTGTTGACTGAGTGTTGACTGAGTGAGAGTGTTGACTGAGTGAGTGTTGACTGAGTGAGTGTTGACTGAGTGAGTGTTGACTGTTAGGTGTTGACTGAGTGGAATGTTGACTGGGTTGACGAGTGAGTGTTGACTGAGAGAGTTTTAAACTGAGTGAGAGTGTTGACTGAGTGAGTGTTGACTGAGTGAGTGTTGACTGAGTGAGTGTTGACTGAGTGTTGACTGAGTGGGGTTGTTAACTGAGTGAGTGTGTGATGAGTGAGGTGTTGACTGAGTGAGGTGGTTGAGTGAGTTTTGATGATTTGTTGATGAGTTTGACCGAGTGAGTGTTGACTGAGTGAGTGTTGATGAGTGAGGTTTTGGACTGGGGGTGTTGATGGAGTGTTGACTGAGTGAGAGTGTTGACTGAGTGAGTGTTGATGAGTGGAAAAGTGTTGACCTGAGTGAGTGTTGACTGAGTAGGTGTTAATGAGTGGTGTTGACTGATGAGAGTGTTGACTGAGTGAGAGTGTTGACTGAGTGAGTGTTGACTGAGTGTTGACTGAGTGAGAGTGTTGACTGAGTGAGAGTGTTGACTGAGTGAGAGTTGACTGAGTGAGTGTTGACTGAGTGAGAGTGTTGACTGAGTGTGTTGAACTGATTTGAGAGTGTTGACTGAGTGAGTGTTGACTGAGTGAGAGTGTTGACTGAGTGAGTGGTGACTGAGTGAGAGTGTTGACTGAGTGAGTGTTGACTGAGTGAGAGTGTTGACTGAGTGAGAGTGTTGACTGAGTGAGTGTTGACTGAGTGAGAGTGTTGAGTGAGTGAGAGTGTTGACTGAGTGAGAGTGTTGACTGAGTGAGTGTTGACTGAGTGAGTGTTGACTGAGTGTTGACTGAGAGTGTTGACTGAGTGAGAGTGTTGACTGAGTGAGAGTGTTCACCGGTGGAGTGAGTCAGTACAGCAGCTGACGGGCTCAGGGACACAGCAGTTCTCACTAATAATGTCTCTCATGGCCACCACCAGGCGTCTACCTGGACAACTGCTCGCCCGAGCTCTAGCTCTGGGCCCAAGGTCCATCACAACCACTCACAAGTAAGTCAAAGCTCCAGCTCTGGGTCCTACATCAACCACTTCACATGAACCCCAACACCAACTATGCTCTCCTCAAGTGAAATTAATTTTATATCACATAAATCACCATGAAATTCGCTTTAATCCCCCAAAAATAGTTATTAAAATAATAAGAATAAAGTAGGTGTAAGTAAAATAAATAATTACGGGACATGATATATATATGAGTAAAAATTCTGGGTTTCCTCTTCATATTTATAGTTATTATAAGTCTTAAATATATATATAATAAGCCGGTGGGTTGACGATAGTGGGTTATTTAAGGTCGCAATATAATTATATGTTAAAGTTATATAAGTCTTGGGTGGGGGGTTAGTGCCGGTGATGTAGGACTTTCTCCACTTCCTTGGATCAGAAGTCAGTGCATCATATTACCTAAGGTGCTGTGTGAACCCATACTGGTGTAGTGTTCTCTTTAGATTCAGTTATAATAAAAGTTTTCCCCTACGAGTTATGTTGCGACGAGTTATGTTGCTACGAGTTATGTTGCTACGAGTTATGTTGCTACGAGTTATGTTGCGACGAGTTATGTTACTACGAGTTATGTTGCTACGAGTTATGTTGCTACGAGTTATGTTGCTACGAGTTATGTTACTACGAGTTATGTTGCTACGAGTTATGTTGCTACGAGTTAGGGTGCTACGAGTTATGTTGCGACGAGTTATGTTACTACGAGTTATTTTTGCTACGAGTTATGTTTGCTACGAGTTATGTTGCTACGAGTTATTTAAACTACGAGTTATGTTACTACGAGTTATGTTGCTACGAGTTATGTTACAGAGTTATGTTGCTACGAGTTATGTTACTACGAGTTATGTTACTACGAGTTATGTTACTACGAGTTATGTTACTACGAGTTATGTTACTACGAGTTATGTTACTACGAGTTATGTTAGTACGAGTTTAGTTTTTATCTTGCAGATAACTTCATAATATTTTCTGGATTTGTTTAACCATACAGTATATACATAATTTAGTGTATGTATTGAGTTGTATTTCAACTTATATAATTACTGATTGATTATACTGTAGTCATGATGGATAAAGAAGTTATATTTTATGAAGACTAACCTAGGATTTTTCTTTCATATTCTGATGATTATATCTCCCTTTTAAAAAATAATAATAATAATAATAAAAATAAAAAATAATAATAATAAAATTAAAAATAAAATGATGTGTAAAATCTTTATTTTACAAATAAAGGTTACAGGGCCTGGCTGACACCGTGATATATACTATATAGAAAATCACTTGTTATGCAGGCAGTTCGGGAAATTAGGTCGTTTTGTCCCCGGTGCACCACACCAGTCCATAACACCCAGGATCGGGCCCACACCGTCCACTAACACCCAGGATGGACCCCACACCATCCACTAACACCAGGGGCGAAACCACACCAGTCCCCTAACACCCAGGTGCGACCCACACAGCCATAAACCCAGGATGTGCCCCCACCAGTCCCCCTAACACCCAGGATTTTGACCCACACCAGTCCACTAACCCAGGGGTGGACCCCCACCCGTCCCCAACACCCGGTGTACCCCACACCAACCACTAACACCCAGGATGTGACCACCCGTCCCTAACACCCGGGTGCACCCACACCAGTCCCCTAACACCCAGGATTGACCCACACCCCCGTCCATAACACCAGGTTGACCCCACACCAAACCACTAAAAAACCCAGGTGTGACCCCCCACCAGTCCCCCAAAAACCCGGATGCGACCCACCCGTCCCTAACACCCAGGATGTGCCAAAAAATCCACTAACACCAGGATGTGACCCACACCATCCACTAACACCCAGGATGCGACCCCACCAGTCACTAACACCCCGGTGTGACCCCACCAGTCCCTAACACCCAGATGGACCCAAACCCCGTCCACTAACAAGGATGTGACCCACACAGTCCCCAAAAACCCCCGGATGCGACCCACACCGTCCCCAACACCCCGGGGTGCCCCCCACACCAGTCCACTAACACCCGGATGCCACCCAACCCTCCCCAACACCCAGGATGGCCCCCCCCAACACCAGTCCACTAACACCCAGGTACCATTTTTTCTGATTGGTGAAATAAAACCAGTGTAAGGAAACACGTTCGGTTTCCCCACCTTTACTGGGAAACGAAAAAGGGGCCCTCACGTATGAAGCAGAGCTTTAGCTACCAGGCCACAGAGCACCAAATGGATAGGGATATGTATATATCAGTTTATATGCACTTGGTGTATTTTTTCTTTATTCAGGCCTGGTCACAGACCGGGCCGCGGGGGCGTTGACCCCCGGAACTCTCTCCAGGTAAACTCTCCAGGTAAACTATATACCCATATGTTTTTACACAGTTGAATATTAAGTTTTATTTAGGCACAGGTACACATGATTCAAGGCATTTTCTATTGTTTCTCACATTCCTTACATGAGAGGATGGTTATACCATCACTCTTATATGGGTGTGAATGTTGCAACAAGGAGAAGGCTGGAGTGAGTGGAGATGTGTCCGAGGGTAATGTGTGGTGTAAATGTAATGCATAGAGTCCATAGTTTGGAAACTAGGAGGAGGTGTGGGGTTACTAAAAGTTTTATCATCCAGAGGGTTGAGGAGGGGTTGTTGAGGTGGTTTGGAGTTTTAGAGAGAATGGAATGAAATAAAATGACTTAGTGTAGAAATCAGTAGTGGAAGGAAAATAGGGTAGGGGTCGGCTTAGTAAAGGTCGGAGGGAGGCGGTTATGACCCTAGTACGTTTAGTGCTTCTTTTTTATTTTAATAATGAAGGGAGGCAGAAAAGGTTTTGTGTGCGAGGGGCTTGGACTTCCAGCAAGCATACATGAGCATGTTAGATAGGAGTGGGTGGAGTCAAATGGTTTTTAAGACCTGATGTGCTGTTGGAGTATGAGCAAGGTAACATTTATGAAGGGATTCAGGGAAACTGGCTTCCGGACCCAAGTCCTGGAGGTGGGAAGTACAGTGCCTGCACTCTGAAGGAGTGTTGATAAGTTGCAGTTTTATAACTAGTGTGGTCATGCCTCTGGCAAGACAGTGATGGAATGAATGATGATGAAAGTGTTTCTTCTTTTTCGGGTCACCTTGCCTTGGTGGGGAACGGCCATGTGTCAATTAAAAAAAAATTGCTGACCTTTTCTTGCTGTCACATGAACACATGAGATGACAGGTAAACTTCTACATACACTCACATTACACATACAGTACCCTTACTTTCTTCTTTACTTTCTTGTGTGTATCTTATTAGTTCTTATGACCTTAACCTATAAGGCCTGGCCTTAAGATTAGACCTTAGGGAAGATAATGCTCTGAACCACTTAACAGATAACAAGAAGGAAAACAGTGTTCAAGATCAGTACTTAAGATACAAATTTTTATTTATACAGTACCATTATATGGGATCACTTATTTGTATGTATACCAATGGCACATGATTTTTTAATTGATAAATTACCCAAATTACATATTTATTGTCTGGCAAAGTTGTTATCTCCTGTCATAAAAATTTTACTTTACCTTAGGCGTGATGGGGAAGTATCATCAGATCACGAAGAGGAGGCCATTCACTATCGACCTTCAACTGCCCAGGCACCAAAGATGACAGATATTGGTACTAGACCCATTTTTAACGAAGATCACGACATCTTCCGGACATCTGTGCGGAAATTTTTCAATGAAGAGGTTTTACCTCACCATGCCCAGTGAGTCAAATTAATATGTATCTCTGTTGAAAGAATTACCATATATACAATAATCAAATGAAAATGATGGGAAATGTATTGCTAGAGATCACAGGTAATTCAGTAAATCATAGATACACATTAACATTGTTATCAGTACCTCACTTAAATAAATATGTAAATAACCTGTACATCCATTTGCTCAATATCGTGAACGTAGGTAAATCATTATAATCAATATATGCTTACTCTCAACATCTGTAATCATCTCAGATGTAATGTTAATTATTCCATTGTGTCCACCTTAAGTTAATAATCAAAACTGTAATTCTTCTCTTCCAAACTTATTAAAGTCATATAGCATGGAATAATAGAATAATCAATTTTCTTTTATTCATTGTAACTAGCCTAATGACCATATATACAATTTTGCACTATTATTGCCTGATTAATCTTAAATAGTCTTAAGTATAGTTGAAATTCTCTGCATATAAAGGAGCTTTTGGCATGTACACCCAATTGTTATACTCCTTTGTACAAACATGTTTCATGCTGAAATAAAAATTATTATGATTATTATTTATTGTAACTACAAATAATATTGTCTTTATTTTCAATTAGGTTACAAAAGCTTATGAAAACGTATTTTAAATACTTCTTAATTCCCAGTATTTATGGTTGGAGTCTCTGATGCATGACTTGTGTATGGTATTATAATCTGAACCTAGCAGTTTTGCTTAAGATATTACTGTAATGCATGACATTACGTGCCTGCAGGCTTGACTCCCAAGACCATGGCCTGCAGAAATGTTACATGTTCATCAGAAGCCCTGTTTGTATCATGATCGTCATGGGAGGCCATGAAGTCTTCCTTGAATTTCGTCACTGAAATACACATTCTGTACATGTATATGTAAATGTACCATCTACAAGATTCTCATAGAATGTCCCCTCACAGATACTGATGGAATACATTTACTCGAAATTAGATTGAATTTGAGGTATGAAAGAGAGAAAAGTTGTTCAGGTATGCACTGTTAACAGTGCATGTTGCTGCTGCCGCCGTTGCTGCCGCCGAAGCTCCGCCTCTGCTGCTGCTGCTGCTACTGTCGCTGCCACCACTGCCGCTGCCACCACTGCCGCTGCCACCACTGCCGCTGCCACCACTGCCGCTGCCACCACTGCCGCTGCCACCACTGCCGCTGCCACCACTGCCTCTTCTTTGTCTTTAATAAAGTCAATCATATTTCAGATTTGAGAAAGATGGCTATGTGTCACGTGAGTGCTGGTTGAAAGCTGGTGAACAAGGCCTCCTGGGTACTGACACTCCTGCTGAGATGGGTGGCATTGGAGGTGACTTCAAGGATGGTGCCATCATTATGGAAGAACAGTAAGTGATTTCGATGTTCTAGGATGAACAGTGTATCAAAAGTTTAAATGATACACTTAATACTTTTCTATTATTTTAGGAAGGTGTCTAAATCTGTTAACAGCACCTGTGCTCACCAAGGCTTCACTTTTTATCTAAGTTAGGAAGTGTTCTTTAGTTTTGCATGCTATACAGTTTTGTACTGAATTTTTTTATACTGATAGATTTGTATATTTTGATGAAACTTTAATTCTTTTTAGAGAAATACATTCAACTTGCAAAAGTTGGGTAATTATCTCAAGCTTCATCTCCAGAATCATTGCTTTTGCACCATTGTAAAGTCAAAATATCTCTGGCCCGGTGGCCTGGTGGCTAAAGCTCCCGCTTCACACACGGAGGGCCCGGGTTCGATTCCCGGCGGGTGGAAACATTTGACACGTTTCCTTACACCTGTTGTCCTGTTCACCTAGCAGCAAATAGGTACCTGGGTGTTAGTCAACTGGTGTGGGTCGCATCCTGGGGGACAAGATTAAGGACCCCAATGGAAATAAGTTAGACAGTCCTCGATGACGCACTGACTTTCTTGGGTTATCCTGGGTGGCTTACCCTCCGGGGTTAAAAATCCGAACGAAATCTTATCTTATCTTATCTTATCTTAGTTGAACCATCGTAAGTTGAGGAGTGCCTGTAGTTTGCATAGTGCATAACCGTTTGCTAAATTATATGTAGAGTTTTACAGTATTAGTGAGCTTTACAAAGCAAAATGCACATAGTATTCTTTACTTAACCCTTTGAGGGGTCCAAGCTGTAGATCTACATCATGAGCTCAGCTCACTCAGATAAGCTGTGAGTGGTAAATTTAGGCATAGATATGAGAGTGCATCTGTGTGTAAGTGTGTACCATATGAAACAAATCCTGCAGCATACAGTGCATAATGAAAAAAATATTGCAATGATGTTTTGTGGATGAAAATATCAACTTTGTGGTGTATTTTTGCATGGTTTTTACGATTGTATTTGTGGTTTCTTGGTCTCATTTGATAGAATGGAAGATATATTACATAAATAAAGATGATTTTGATTGGTTTTAGTACTGATAATCTATGTAACTGTATTTGTGTATACCTGAATAACTTACTTACATGCCATTTTCTTCGTGCTTTTCCTTATTGTTCCTCTTCTTACCCCCACCCGTTTTTTACCTTTTTTCATATCTGCTCTATGCCTTTTTTTGTGCATTATCTCCCTACTTTTCAGAATGTATGTAAATTGCTCAGGACCTGGATTTCCTCTACACACACATATTATCATGCCATATATCACCCATTATGGCTCTCAAGAACAAATCGACAAATATATCCCTGAAATGACTGCTGGACGCAAGATTGGAGCCATCGCTATGACCGAGCCTGGTGCTGGCAGGTAAGGAGAGGTGAAACGAGAGGTTACTCTCTCTCTGCTATGCTATGCACTTTTGCTCGAGTCAGAATTAGGAAAACAAAGCAAATAATGCTAGGATTTTTACTATTTTTATCTTAGGTTTCTTTTTCTTTTTTGTCTAAGGTTTTCTTATTCCAAGGCAAAAAACATTTGTGTGTATGACGAGGAAGACGACCAGAGCTGTCGTGAGATGGGAAGGAATAAGGATGAGGAAGGATGGAAATACTGGAAAAGGATGGGAAGGAGGGGAAGAGGAGGAAACAAGGCAAGTGGCCCAACCACTTTGGGACATGTGGTACAAAGTACTGGAGGCTTAGATGGAGAGGCTTGAATGATGTCGGTACTTGGCTCACTAGGAGAGGATAGCGAAGGCAGCGGCAGGAGCTGGGAGTGCAGAAGGCAGCAAGCAGGATGAGTTGTATTGGTGGTGGTCGGCTTGAGTTGTGTTAAGCTACTGTCCCATTAGAAAGAGTCTGGAACTTCGGTATTGGCATGAGCCTGATTCTAAATTTGTGGTCTTGGTCGATCTCTGGAGCATTAAGGAGATTGATGAGTTCTCTAAGGAAGAGAAAACGTGATGGATTACAGACGTACTTGACTTCGTCACTCTGGAGGAGGGGGATCAATGTCTGTGAATCCATTTCTTTGGGATAATCAGGAGTAGTGTAGAAAGAGAATCCACGTATCGTATTATATTGTTGTTTATCCTTAGAGTGAGGGACAAGTGAAGTCGTTGATTGGTCTGTTTCGTTAGTGGTGGAAGACGAGGACGCTGCTCGTGTCTTGATAGATGTGGTGGCTGGTGTTGGAGGCGTTTTCTCATTGGTGGAGGAAGGTGGAGGCACGTGAGGCACTGAGGGCTCTGATTGGTTCTTGGCAGTGGCGGTGGCTGGAGGAGGTGGTGGTCTCTCATTGGTGGATTGCGAAGTAGAGCAGGTGGCTTCTGCAGAACTCAAATCTTGCAAGTCATCTGGTGCCTTGAAACTGACGATTTTTGGGATAATCTTCAAAACATCAGCTGAAGCAGGACTAGCTGGGAAGTTGAATGATGGCAGATTGTTGAGGGCAAGAATATCATTTATAGTTGTATTAAAACAACCCGGGTTAGCTGCATTTTGCATGTGTGCATACATCAGGCAGTAGTAGAATTTTGTGGAAATATCATCTGGTAGAGGAGAGGCGGTGAGTGGTGGAGGTTGCTGAGTGGCTTGTAGAATCTTGGTGGTGGTCGTCTGAAGCTTAGCTATAGCAGCATAAGTAGGAGAGTTTCCTGTAGACTTCTTAGTTTCTTCTTTCAGTTTCTTAGAGAGGATATCCTTGCACACTGAACATTTGGCTGCAAGAGTATGGTGATCACTCTTACAGTTGATGCAGGTGGGAGCGGCAGTGGAAATGCAAGAACGAAAGTCGTGATCTGCAGACCCACAGATGGAACATATCTTCTTATTCTTCACATTGCAGTTGGCAGTAGAGTGACTATACGAGTAGCATGTCCAACAAGGTGTTATGTAAGTGAATCATTCAGGCTCAATCTGTCGAGGGTTGATGAAGTAGTAAGAGATGGCCAGGCCATCAGGACAATGCTCTGGTCGCATGGTAACGTCTAGAAACATGGCCTAGAGCATCCAGGAAGCATTGGGAATCTTCACAACAGAGTCGGTCTTGGCCCAAGTGTTGAGGTCTTCGAGTGATGACATAATTTCTTCGATAGACATGTTCTTGATTAGCCTGTCAAGGCATTTCATGAACACAGAGCGTTTTGCAAGCATGTATGGTGACGTGGAGATGGTAAAACAGCGTTCTTCTAATGTCTTCATAGCTGTAGGTGTAAGTACTTTGTCAGCTTCAGTATCATCGAGAAAGGTGACGATGAAGGATTCTTTCAGTGAAGTAATCTTGAAGAATTTGGCGTGAAGACAAGTGTTGAGTGAGGTTGCAAGCTCGAGCTTCGTGGCGCTGTCGACGACAGCAGATTTGGGCTTAATTCTCACACGATGAGACATTGTGGAGATGGTAGAGGTTCCCCTCCCCAACGGGGATCGTAGGGAGACTGAACAAGTAAGGAGAGCTGCTATGACCTGCTGAGGCGAGAGTCAAAAGCAGAATGTCGTGTATCCTATATCATTTGTCTTTGTGTGTACATATTTATTAATTTCTTAGTTTGATTGTTTTTTCAGTATTAAATTATAATGGCTTATACATTAGCTACATTAAAGGACATCTGCTTTCTTCAGGATATTAATCCACTTCTTTCAGTAGTAGATTCATCATATCTGTACTTCACAGAAAATATTTACAGTGTAGATTTAGAACTGAAAGTTGCCATAGGTGTTTAAGCATTCCTTGAACCCCTCTAGAGAGAGGTTTCTTGATGCTTTTTCACATCTTTTCAGTTTTTTATATACTTGTTCTGAGTTCTATATTAGTAAATAATAGAATAAAACAGGTATTGTTAGAGCAGTAGTTCTTTAAGTTAATATGGTTTTTTATTTAAGCAGCACATGTTGAATGACAGTTTTCAATTAAACAGACTAATAGTGGGAGAGTGGGTGCCCAGTAATGGCAGTTGTGGTGGATAGAGATGAGATTGTTTTGCTACAATTTTAACAATGATGGACAATTCTGTAACCAACAGACTTTGTTTTCAAATCAGTCGACCTAGTGGATTGTGTCCCATGTGGTGTCGTATTTGGGGTCTAAGAAATTAAAATTATTGCTTAGGGTTTATTTTTGTATCTCACAACCTAAATTAGAATGTCTGATTGCTGTTAATGGGCAATTTGTAATGTTTGTGTATTCTCCACAGTGAAAAAACTCACAAGTGTTGGGTGCAGAAACGATTTTGCTCGCAAGTGGAGAGATGGTTTGGATCACAATGGTTCTCTTTCCTTCCTTGCTTTTTGGACTATGTGTACTGGTTTTGTTTTGTTAACAACCTTTGCAGCCCCCTTAAGAGGGAAATGTTTCACGGGAAGCTCGTTGATTCAGTTGGTGGTGGTGGCCCGGTTGGTCTGGTGGCTAAGCTGTACAAGAGGGCTTGAGATTCACAGGTGTGATTCTGACTTTTCCTTACACTATTGCTTTTAGAGCATATGGGCAAGGTGACAGTTGGTGTTAAAGTTAAGGACCCATTTAGTTGACAGTCCTCGGATGACGGGACAGGCTTTGCTTGGTTATGCTGGTGGTGAACCTCGGGGTTAAAATCCGAAGAATTTATTGTACTCCCCTTTCTCGGATCATTCCTGATTGCCCTCCATGTCTCAGATGCCATATAAGCCCTATGGATTTAGCACTTCATTATGATTATTATAATGGTAAATAGTAATAATATCTTTATTATTAATATTTCTCTATAGGGAAGTGGAAAGGAATTCTTCCTCCATAAGCCATGCAGGTTGTAAGAGGCAACTATAATGCGGAAGCAACGGGCTAGTAACCCCTTCTGTATAAATTACTTAATTTTTTTTTAACATGTCAGCTGTTTCCCACCAAGGTGGCCAACATATTTAAAAAAAAGACTGTTGTATCTGAGCACCTTTGCAAAGACAGTGATTGTGTGTGACTGATAGTGAGAGAGTTTCTTTTTTTGGGGTCACCCTGCCTCTGTGTGTTAAAAAATTATTATTGTTGTTGTTGTTATCGGTATTGAATTTTGGGGTGTTGCATTCGTAATTTGAAGCATTTTACAAGGTTCAGTACAACTAAATGTGCTACCATGTGAACAATAACTGTGAATTATTGTTCACAGTGCATTGGTATATTTTCAAGAGTCATGTTGACATTACTGAAAATGACCAGCTTTATTTACGTTGGAAATTTGAAGAATGACAAGAGAGTCTGTGACGTGGAAATATAACATATGTTGTTGCTGCTACATCATCTCACATGTCTCTACTTGCCAGTACTTCAATAGATGCATTTTGTATGTACATGTTTTACCTATTCTTGTATCTTTATACATACTGATCATTTGTCACACATGACTGAAAACCTTTGATTTGTTCTTGAAAACCTCTGATGTGTTCTTGGAAACCTCTGATATGTTCTTGGAAACCTCTCATGTGTTCTTGGAAACCTCTAATGTGTTCTTGAAAACTGCTGATTTGTTCTTGAAAACCTGTCATTTATTCTTGAAAACTTTAGAGTTGTTCTTGAAAACCTCTGATTTAATCCAAAGAAATGTGTTACAGTTTTTGAACTGTAGTATTGGCACACCTCTGGCAAAACAGTATAATGGATTGAGTGATGATGAAAGTGTCTCTTCTTTTTCAGGTTACCCTGCCTCGTTTGAAAACGGCTGATGTGTTAAAAAATTAATCCAAAAAATTGGTTTTGACTTTCAGGATACTGCAGAGTTATTCTTTGAAGATGTTCGTTTACCTGCGTCTGCCTTGCTAGGGAAGGAGAATCATGGCTTCTACTATCTTATGAATGAGTTGCCTCAGGTGAGATCTCCATTATTGTGCTTTTTCATTGATTCATCATTTTGTTTACTCTCAGTGACCTCAGTCCCTTTGTGGATTATTTTCAGGCTTAGGATATTTATATTTTGGCATGTGGTTACACATTTAGTATCTGTAGTTACAGGAAGAGAGCTGTGCTCATAGTATCCCAGCTTCAAAGGTTAGTTTGTCATATCATTGATTGATGTTACTAATGGTTGTAGTGAATACTACCACCTCTTGAATACCTTTCTTTTGAAGAATGACAGTCTAATTCTTTTTGGGCATTGTATGTCTTGATTTAAAATTTTGCCTCATGTTCTGTTGATGTAATAAATCTTTAGTTATTTTTTTGTATCATTTCACTGTCTTTTTATGTAGTTCTTGGTACCTTCAATTGTAGTTTAGTTTTTGTTAAATGTCTTAGAGTTTTTTCAATCTTATCTACATTTTTTTAGGAGCAGGCACCACTAACATATTTTGTGAACATCTTTTCTTTTACCATTTTCCCTCAATATATCTGTTGTCCAGAGGGCTGAGGAAGGGTTGTTGAGGTGGTTCGGACATGTAGAGAGAATGGAGCGAAACAGAATGGCTTCAAGAGTGTATCAGTCTGTAGTGGAAGGAAGGCGGGGTAGGGGTCGGCCTAGGAAAGGTTGGAGAGAGGGGGTAAAGGAGGTTTTGTGTGCGAGGGGCTTGGACTTCCAGCAGGTATGCGTGAGCGTGTTTGATAGGAGTGAATGGAGACAAATGGTTTTTAATACTTGACGTGCTGTTGGAGTGTGAGCAAAGTAACATTTATGAAGGGGTTCAGGGAAACCGGCAGGCCGGACTTGAGTCCTGGAGATGGGAAGTACAGTGCCTGCACTCTGAAGGAGGGGTGTTAATGTTGCAGTTTAAAAACTGTAGTGTAAAGCACCCTTCTGGCAAGACAGTGATGGAGTGAATGATGGTGAAAGTTTTTCTTTTTCGGGCCACCCTGCCTTGGTGGGAATCGGCCAGTGTGATAATAAAAAAATAAAAAATAATATCTGAATAGTAATATTTATAATGGAGGGTGTATAAATCTGTAATGGAAGGAAGGAGGGGTAGGGGTCATCTTAGGAAAGGATGGAGGGAGGAAGTAAAGGAGGTTTTGTGTGCAAGAGGCTTGGACATACAGCAGGTGTGAGTGAGCTGAAGACAAATGGTTTTTGGGACTTGACGAGCTGTTTGGAGTGTGAGCAAGGTAATATTCTGTGAAGGGATTCAGGGAAACTGGTTAGCCAGACTTGAGTCCTGGAGGTGGGAAGTACAGTGCCTGCACTCTGAAGGAGGGGTGGAAGTATGTTGCAGTTTTTTAATTATAGTGTCCATACACTTCTGCCAAAACAGTGATGGAGTGAGTGATAGTCACCCTGCCTCAGTGGGAGACAGTCAGTATGTTAGAAAAAATCTTCAATCTGGTAATTATTTTTTTTATTTTTTTTATTAACACACTGGCCGATTCCCACCAAGGCAGGGTGGCCCGAAAAAGAAAAACTTTCACCATCATTCACTCCATCACTGTCTTGCCAGAAGGGTGCTTTACACTACAGTTTTTAAACTGCAACATTAACACCCCTCCTTCAGAGTGCAGGACACTGTACTTCCCATCTCCAGGACTCAAGTCCGGCCTGCCGGTTTCCCTGAATCCCTTCATAAATGTTACTTTGCTCACACTTCAATAGCACGTCAAGTATTAAAAACCATTTGTCTCCATTCACTCCTATCAAACACGCTCACGCATGCCCGCTGGAAGTCCAAGCCCCTCGCACACAAAACCTCCTTTACCCCCTCCCTCCAACCTTTCCTAGGCCGACCCCTACCCCGCCTTCCTTCCACTACAGACTGATACATTCTTGAAGTCATTCTGCTCCATTCTCTCTACATGTCTGAACCACCTCAACAACCCTTCCTCAGTCCTCTGGACAACAGTTTTGGCAATCCCGCACCTCCTCCTAACTTCCAAACTACGAATCCTCTGCATTATATTCACACCACACATTGCCCTCAGACATGACATCTCCACTGCCTCCAGCCTTGTCCTCGCTGCAACATTCATCACCCATGCTTCACACCCATACAGGAGTGTTGGTAAAACTATACTCTCATACATTCCCCTCTTCGCTTCCAAGGACAAAGTTCTTTGTCTCCACAGACTCACCCTTTTTCCCTCATCAATTCTATGATTCACCTCATCTTTCATAGACCCATCTGCTGACACGTCCACTCCCAAATATCTGAATACATTCACCTCCTCCATACTCTCTCCCTCCAATCTGATATCCAATCTTTCATCACCTAATCTTTTTGTTATCCTCATAACCTTACTCTTTCCTGTATTCACTTTCAATTTTCTTCTTTTGCATAACCTACCAAATTCATCCACCAATCTCTGCAACTTCTCTTCAGAATCTCCAAAGAGCACAGTGTTATCAGCAAAGAGCAACTGTCACAACTCCCACTTTATGTGTGATTCTTTATCTTTAACTCCACGCCTCTTGCCAAGACCCTCACATTTACTTCTCTTACAACCCCATCTATAAATATATTAAACAACCATGGTGACATCACACATCCTTGTCTAAGGCCTACTTTTACTGGGAAATAATTTCCCTCTTTCCTACATACTCTAACTTGAGCCTCACTATCCTCGTAAAAACTCTTCACTGCTTTCAGTAACCTACCTCCTACACCATACACCTGCAATATCTGCCACATTGCCCCCGTATCCACCCTGTCATATGCCTTTTCCAAATCCATAAATGCCACAAAGACCTCTTTAGCCTTATCTAAATACTGTTCACTTATATGTTTCACTGTAAACACCTGGTCCACACACCCCCTACCTTTCCTAAAGCCTCCTTGTTCATCTGCTATCCTATTCTCAGTCTTACTCTTAATTCTTTCAATAATAACTCTACCATACACTTTACCAGGTTAATTAGTATTTATAAGAAATAATTGGCAAAATAATAAGTGATTTCATAATTGGAAAGTCATTGAGCCAGAAAAATGGACAATTGAATTTGTTCCCTGGCTGCCCATCAGTATAAAAACTCCTAATAATGTAAATCCATAAATATGAAAGCCTGTATATTTGTAGGGATGACCCCACAGTATTGTGCTAATACAATAATTGTTAGTGGATCTGCATATATTATTTATTTTCATCTTAAACTAATGAATTAAACTTTGTTTTATCCAGGAGCGCCTTCTTATTGGCATCATGTCATGTGCCAACTGTGAGTGGCAGTTGGAAGAGACTCGGGCTTACCTCATGTCTAGAAAGGCATTTGGCAAGACACTTCCAATCTCCAGGTAGGTACTGTATGGGAGGGTGTTAAATAAAATAGCTTTTTCTTCAAGCATACTTTATTATTTAAAGTGTTTGAATAAAGTGTTAAAGAAGTGTGGCACTTGATGTAGATGACTGAGGAAAAAGGAATGTTTGTTGGTAGAGTGAGAGGGATACATGGAATTAAGAGAATAAGTACTCAGCAGGGAACAAGGGGCTAGTAACCCTTTCTCCTGTATACATTACTAAAGTTAAAAGGATAAACTTTTGTTTTTCTTTTTGGGCCACCCTGCCTCAGTGGGATACAGCTGGTTTGTTGAAAGAAGAAGTACTCAACAGACAGTGATAGTGTGTGGTTCTTTTGTTGTGCTGTATTTTGTTTTCTAGTAACAGAGATGACCTGCTCTCTCTACTAACATGTTCATTACTCACTTTTCCAAGTCACACAACAAATCTCAAACCTAACTTAACCTTACCTTAACCTTTACCTTAACCTTACATTTACCTTTACTTTCACCTTAACCTTACCTTTACCTTTACCTTAACCTTAACCTTAACCTTTACCTTTACCTTTACCTTAACCTTTACCTTTACCTTAACCTTTACCTTTACCTTAACCTTTACCTTTACCTTTACCTTAACCATTACCATTACCTTTACCTTTACCTTTACCTTTACCTTTACCTTACTTACCTTTACCTTTACCTTACTACCTTACTTACCTTTACCTTACTTACCTTTACCTTTCCCTTTACCTTTACCTTTACCTTACCTTTACCTTACCTTACCTTACCTTACCTTACCTTACCTTACCTTACCTTACCTTACCTTACCTTACCTTACCTTACCTTACCTTTACCTTTACCTTTACCTTTACCTTTACCTTTACCTTTACCTTATCTTTACCTTTATCTTACTCAGTTTTCAAACACCAAACACATTTTTCTTATTGCCACACATTCACACTCATTCTGCAATAGCAGAATCATATGTCAAATATACAAAGTTACAATAGCTATAATGCTAGAATGCCACATGAATATGGAATTAATTAAACAAATGATGTGGCCATTTAGCAGCATAAGATGTGATGAGGATGTCTTATGCTGTTTTTTCTTTGCACACTGCTTGTCTCCCACTAAGGCCAGATGACCGGTGTCTTAAAATAAAATGTAGACAGTGTTTGAACTGTAGTATCGGCATGCCTCTGGCAAAACGTTGATGGAGTAAGTGATGGTGAAAGTGTTTCTTCGTTTTTGGTTCACCTTGCCTCAGTGGCAAATGGCCAATGTGTTAAAAAAAAATTTTCCTCATCACTTCTTAATTTATTCTCATTTTATATCTTTATTTACCACTCACATGCATAAAACAAGTATAAATGCAATATGTATACAGTGGCCCTCAGCTTACGATGTGGTTATGTTCCAACAAAACCATTGTAAGTTGAAACTATGTTAAGTTGAATATGAATGTGATATGATATCTTGGATTGTTTGAGGCTCATAGTGAAGTCCTGGACAGAAGTTTTCACTCAATGTCTCGATGCTGCTTGGAAGAATTTGTAGCCTTCACCCTCTCCACCACCACCACTACCAACCAGTAACCCCCTCTCTACCCTTTCTACTACTACCACCACCACCACACTACCAACCAGTAACCCTCTCTCTACCCTCTCCACCACCACTACCACCACACTACCAACCACTAACCTATCTACCACCACCACACCACCAACTTTTCACGTCCAATGTACAGTAAAAGTGGCACTTCCTGGTTCTTTGAACAATTTTCCATAAAACCATATATTTTGAGGTTTAAGCTACAATAGATTTAAGGTACAATACACCTGGAGCAGATTAATATTGCCACTCAGGAGGCCACTTTTTATAAATACTAATATACATATACTGTGGTGAGCAGTGGCATAATGCGTATATCGATGCAATAGAGCCAGAGACAAATGCATTGTAACAAAATGCTTTATTGACTCATTGTACTGCATTTGTGTGTCTGTTTTCAAACATATACTGTAAATCTTTATTTTTTATTTACAGACAGTTCAGCATAAACTTGCAGAACTAAAGACAGAGATCTGTGTTGCTCGTGCCTTCACTGACCAGTGCATTGACTTGCATAATGTTGGGAAATTGGATGGTAGCATGGCATCAATGTGTAAATATTGGTAAGTATAATGAATTAAAATTACTTATTATTATAACATGATATACAGTGGAACCCTGGATTTTGTACTTAATCCGTTCCAGAAAGTCGGTCTAAATCCGAAATGTACGAAAACTGAAGCAATATTTCCCATAAGAAATAATATAAATACAATTAATCCGTTCCAGATACCCAAAAATATTAACAAAAAATATATTTTTTAAAGAATAACTATAGTTTTACATACAGAAAGCAATGAGAAATAAATATAAATGACTAATTTTAATGATAAATGAGCATTATATACCTTTATTGATGACTCTTACTGGTGTATTAAAGAAGGCGAGGAGAGGAGAGTTAAGATTATTGTTTGGAAGGGGAATCTTCCTCCATAAAGACTTCAGGTATCAAAGCCCTCTCTGGGGTTACTTCCCTTCTTTGTCTTTTACTGGCACCGGACTCCTGTTGCACTAAAAATCCATCCAGAGAGCTCTGTTTCTGGTGTCTTTTTAAGATTTGCTTAAAATGGGACAAGGTATTGTCACTGAACATGCTTCATTAGCATATTTACCCCCTTTCGCAGCTTTAGCTCCCTTGATTTCTACTTTCTTTGCTAGATGGAACAGATTGTTGATTTTGACTTCCCATACATCCTGGCAAGCTTGGCTAAATGTACGCCCCTTTCTTATTTTTCTACAGTCTCTTGAATTCTGTCATGTTTCTCACCTTCTTTACCAAAGGGCTGGCACTAAGAACTTTCTTTGGGCTTTCAACACACCGGCTATATCCCACCAAGGCGAGGTGGCCCAAAAGGAAAAACAAAAGTTTCTCCTTTTACATTTAGTAATATATACAGGAGAAGGGGTTACTAGCCCCTTGCTCCCGGTAATTTAGTCGCTTCTTACAACACGCATGGCTTATGAAGGAAGAATTCTGTTCCACTTGCCCATGGAGATAAAGGAAATAAACAAGAACTATTAAGGAACTAGAAGAAAATCCAGAGGGGTGTGTACATACAGTGGGACCTCGAGTTTCAGCCACCCCAAGTTTTGGTCACTTATTTCGGTTAAATTTTGTCTTGAGTTTCAAACAGTACCTTGAGTTTTGGCCGCCATACCAGACCTGCCGGCACATGCGTTGTGGGTCAGTCTGACTTTGTTTCTCCTCGAGTGAACATTACCCTGTGCTTTCATCCAAACATTTCACAAAAATTTATTATTTTTTGTGCTTGTAAATTGAGTGCGACTACTACATAATTAACTATGGGCCCAAAGAAAGTGAGAAGCACAATAGAATTGAAGAAAGAAATTGTAGCAAGTACGAAAGTGGAGGAGGAAGAGAGAGGGGAGAATGTGCCTTTTTCAGTGATTCAGTGATTCTACAATATGTACGATACTAAAGCAGCAGGAGTCAATAAAGACTATAACACCAGCCAGTGATAGTGTAGCATTAACGGTGTAACAAGTAAGTTAAGCGATTAAGTGATAGAAAAATGACAACACGAAACTTACCTCCTCCATTGTTGTTTGAGGTACTATATAGGGCCACTGACAACACTACCGCTGCCACCACTACTATACGGCTTATGCTCTCAGTGGCCCTTATCAACCCAACAACACCACCACCACCACTCCACATACATAATGACATATTTTATTCATTCTAGAGCATATATCATGTTTCTATGTTATTAATATTGTTTATTATATATTAAATGAATTATGATAGATAAATGAGCCGTAGAAATTATATAGTGTCATATTCAAGTATTTTGTCCTCTCTCCAAACAAACTCTCCTGCCTCTCAATACACCAAGAGTCTTCAATAAAGGTAAAACTGATTTAAATGTTTTTTTTTTTTTAATATTTATTTATCCGTTGAAATTAGTGCTTTATATTTATTTTTCATTGTTTTCTGTATGTAAAACTATATTTTTTCTTAATTTTTTTTTTTTTTTTTTTAAATATTTTTGGGTGTCTGGAACGGATTACATAATTGGATTTACATTATTTCTTATGGGAAATATTGCTTTGACTTTCGAACAATTTGAGTTTCGGCCGAGCTTCTGGAATGGATTAAGTTCAAAACTCGAGGTACCACTGTATATGCTTGTACATGCAAGTGTAGTGTAACCTAAGTGTAAGTAGAATTAGCAAGACATACCTGAAATCTTGCATGTTTACGAGACAGAAAAAAGACACCAGCAATCCTACCATCATGTAAAACAATTACAGGCTTCCGTTTTACACTCACTTGGCAGAACGGTAGTACCTCCCTGTTGAATTCATAATCACAAAAATAGAAGATTTACTCTTTATTTCTCAGATAATAAAATATAACCAGGAATGATTGGTCATGATTTATGGTATAATTGAATCAGACCTAATAGAAACCCATATCTGCTACTTTGACCTCAATTTCAACCGACTCCCGTTCCTCAAACCAACCAAAATAATGATTCAAATGACACCAAATAACAGCCAATAAAACTATAAAAATCAAATGAGAAAACACCTCACATTCATTATTTTAAACTATTCACATGTTCAGTTTTGCTTTTTTTCATCATGCACAGACCCATTCTTTCATATCTGGGCCAGAATTTACTGCTCACAGCTTATTTGAGTGAGCTGAGCATATGACATAGAACTGCATCAGAAACCCCTGGCCTCTGTGACATAGCTCTGTGTGACAGCCACTGAAAGTGTTAATGATGGTACAAGAGCATTGAAAATTTGAAGTTGGTTAGATTAGGCATTCTCAAGTTATAAGCAGAAACTTGTAAGAACAACACAAAAAATTCTGGCAACCACCCAACAGTACTCCTTCAGGAATACTTAATAATATATGTTAGTTAGCATTATTGTATACTTTTAAGTTTTTAATCAATTAATAGCCAGTTTACTTGAGTCATTAACATGCTTGTGTTAATATTCCAAAGAAAATTTTCAGTTTATCATCATCGCTACATCATTATTAAGTGATGTTCTTTGCAGGATGTCAGAGATGCAGAATCGTGTTGGTTATCAGTGTGTGCAGCTCCATGGTGGCTGGGGGTATATGTGGGAATACCCAATTTGTAAGGCCTATGTAGATGCAAGAGTACAGACCATCTATGGTGGGTCCAACGAGATCATGAAAGAATTAATTGCTCGTCAAATTGTTGGTGACAAGAGGCTTTAACGAGCAGGCTGGGGAGACGTGATGCATCCATCACTGCAGCACTGTCAACAGTGTCTTGAATATAGTGAGTAACAGTGGAATGTTTGTGTTCACTAACTGATATTGCTCTTTCAAAAATATTGTCTTACCAGTTAATGCATTTCCTTTTTTGAGTAACTACTTGAGGAGATGGCTGGTGTATTAAAAATAATAAGAGTTATGGAAACACTATAATCACAATCTGAGTATCTGGGGTTTGTTCCCTGGTATGAGTGGAAATGTGCACATTTCCTTATGCCTGCTGTTCTGTTCACCTGAGTGTTAGTCAGCTGGTGTGGGTGGCATCCTGGGGGTGGTAGTATACCTTAGATAGGGCTGGGTTTTGAAAAAAACTGAGGTACAGTAACAGCTCTTAGCATGTAAAATTGATTTGTGTAAAAAAAAAAAAAATCATGTTACTTCTTGTTTCCTTTAGTTCAGCTACCCATACACAGTATGGTATTAAAGGTTTGCAAAATCCTGTGGATAAACTTGGCACAATTTAATTGTGTAAATGGTGATTGGGCTAACTTTACATTTATTATGTATTTGTATTATCTATTTCTATTTTCCATTTCTATTTTTAACCCCTTCTCCTGTATACTGTAAATTACACTACAGAAATAACTCGCACATAAAACAGAGAAGCTTATGACGATGTTTCAGTCTGACTTGGACCATTTACAAAGTCACACTGACTTGTTATATGTAAATAATGACCACCACCTATGTGTAAGATGTGTAGATAATGACCACCACTTAGGTTTAAAATGTGTAAATAATGACCACCACCTAAGTGTTAGATGTGTAGATAATGACCACCACTTAGGTGTAAGATGTGTAGATAATGACCACCACCTAGGTGTAAGACGTGTAGATAATGACCACCACAGAGTCAAATGCAGTGTTTGCGGCTTTCACAGAGACCCACATGAAGGATCATTTTGACATCGAAATATGGATCTCAGGTTATAACCTATTCAGATGCGACAGACTAAACAGGCAACAAGGGGGATTTTGGCTTGTACGTCACAGTCTCTCTCATTTGCTCAGAACTACTAAACACCTCAAGTGATATAGTTGAAGTTTTGGGAATAAAGATCAAAAACCAAAACCTTGCCATTGTGGTTGTATACAAGCCTGTGGATGCAACTTACCAGCAGTTCTAGGAAGATAGACTTAAAGCCTTAAATCTCCACTCTCTGGAGAGGCGTAGAATGAGGGGAGATATCATTGAAGTGTGTAAGTGGATGACGGGCATAAACAAGGGAGATATTAATAAAGTACTGAGGGTGTCGAACCAGGTAAGAACCAGAAATAATGGTTTTAAAGTTGGATTTTTTAGATTTAAAAGGACTAGGTAAGTTTTGGGTTTTCTAAAGAGTTGTAGATGCGTGAAACGTCTTCCCGTGGGGTGATAGGGGCTAGGACTTGGGTAGCTTAAGAAGAGACTGGAAAAATTATGAGTGGGGGACTGGGTTGAAGGGAGTTTTTTGGTCGGGAGTATTTTTGGGTATCTTTGGGTAGTGGTCGTTTGATAAGGACCTGCCCGCATGGGCCAGTGGGCCTTCTGCGTTTTCCTACTTTTTGTTCTTTTTTTCTTATAACAGCTTTTAAAAATTTGACCACTGTTGGAAAATCCCCCAACTCCTGCGCCAAACATCTTGCCACTGGGGATTTCAATTGAGACCCTAAAATGGAGGAGTGTACAGTAGTTTTTTAGCAGAAATCACCCCCGAGGGCTCGATAAAAATTCACATCACACAAGCTATTAAATCTCGCACCAAATTTTCCCCTTTAAATTTTTTATTTTATCCACTGGGGGTTCCCACCAAGGCAGGGGGCCCAAAAAAGAAAAACTTTCACCATCTTTTTCCCTCACGTCTGCCAGAAGGGTGCTTTAAAACCCAAGTTTTTAAACTGCAACATTAAAACCCCTCCTTAGAGGCAGGCATGTACTTCCCCTCTCCCGGCTCAAGTCCGGTCCGGTTTCCCCGAAACCCTTTAAATGTTACTTTTCTCACCTCCCAAAGCACTCAAGTATTTTAAAAACCCTTTGTTCCATTTCCCCCTATCAAAAAACCGCTCAGCATGCCCCCTGGAAGTCCAAGCCCCCCCGCCACAAAATCCCTTTTTCCCCCCCCTCCAACCCTTCCTAGGCCGACCCCTCCCCCCCCTTCCTTCCACTACGACGGGATACACTCTTGAAGTCATTCTGTTTCGCTCCATTCTCTCTACATGTCCGAACCACCTCAAACAACCTTCCTCAGCCCTCTGGACAACAGTTTGGTAATCCCGCACCTCCTCCTAACTTCCAAACTACGAATTCTCTGCATTATATTCAACCACACATTGCCTCAGACATGACATCTCCACTGCCCAGCCTTCTCCTCGCTGCAACATTCATCACCCACGCTTCCCCCCATATAAGAGCGTTGGTAAAACTATACTCTCATACATTCCCCTCTTTGCCTCCAAGGACAAAGTTTCTTTGTCTCCACAGACTCCTAAGTGCACCACTCACTCTTTTTCCTCATCAATTCTATGATTCACCTCATCTTTCATAGACCCATCCGCTGACACGTCCACTCCCAAATATCTGAATACGTTCACCTCCTCCATACTCTCTCCTCCAACTGTATTCAATCTTTTCATCACCTAATCTTTTTGTTATCCTCATAACCTTACTCTTTCCTGTATTCACCTTTAATTTTCTTCTTTTGCACACCCTACCAAATTCATCCACCAATCTCTGCAACTTCTCTTCAGAATTTTCCCAAGAGCACAGTGTCATCAGCAAAGAGCAGCTGTGACAACTCCCACTTTGTGTGTGATTCTTTATCTTTTAACTCCACGCCTCTTGCCAAGACCCTCGCATTTACTTCTCTTACAACCCCATCTATAAATATATTAAACAACCACGGTGACATCACACATCCTTGTCTAAGGCCTACTTTTACTGGGAAAAAATTTCCCTCTTTCCTACATACTCTAACTTGAGCCTCACTATCCTCGTAAAAACTCTTCACTGCTTTCAGTAACCTACCTTAAACCAGCATATAATAGAGCCTACAAGACTAGAAAATACACTGGACCTCATCTTCACCAACAACGATGATCTGATATGTAATATACGTATAACAGTATCAAAGACACACTCAGATCACAACGTAACAGAGGTGCAATCATGTATGCGCAGGGCTCCTGACCAGCAAAATGTGATCAGTTATGACAGTGCCTTCACAAAATTCAACTTCAGTAACAAAAACATACACTGGGAGCAAGTCAACCATGTGCTAAATGAAATGAGTGGGAAGATATTCTAATGAACACGGATCCGAACATTTGCATAGAAAATATTAACTCTGTGGCACTTGAGGTCTGCTCAAGGCACATTCCATTAAGAAAAAAGAAAGAGATGATGCAAACTAGAAAGAGAGACGCTCCCTATACAGGCATAGGTGAAGAATCACAGAGCTGCTGAGAGGGGCCAGTACATATCTGAAATATGAAGGGAGGCACTGGTCAGAGAAATAGAAAATATCGAAACTAAGCTTAAGGAATCTTAGAGGAGACAAGAATCTAAAGAAGAACATAAAGCCATAAAGGAAATTGAAAGAAACCTGAAATACTTCTCTTATGCCAAATCTAAGGGGAAAACAACATCCAGTATTGGACCCCTGCTTAAACAAGATGGGACCTACACAAATAAATGAGTGAGATACCAAAGTCCCAATATGACTCAGTGTTCAGTGATCCATTAACCCTTTGACTGTTGTGGTCGTATATATACGTCTTACGCGCCACTGTTTTGGACGTATTTATACGCGTAAATTCTAACAGCTTCAAATCAAGCAGGAGAAAGCTGGTAGGCCCACATGTGAGAGAAAGGGTCTGTGTGGTCATTGTGCACCACATAAAAAAAATCCTACAGCACACAGTGCATAATGAGAAAAAACTGACCGTTTTTTTGGATTAAAACGCCGACTTCGTGGTGCATTTTCATATAGTATTTATCTTTGTATTCTCGTTTTCATGGTCTTGCATGATAAAATGGAAAACATATTACAGAGATAGAGATGATTTTGATTAGTTTCACGATGAAAACGACCTTGAAATTGAGCTCAAAGTAGCGGAAATGTTAATTTTTACCAATGTTCAAGAGTAAGCAAATCACACCACACGTCCAATACATGTCAATTGGGGAGTCTGATATTCATTCACTAGTGCACTGATATTATTTATACCATTTTTACAATAATGCAGTAGTCTGCATAACAGTAAATTTTGTATTTTTTGTATGAATAAAAAATCAAAATAGAAAGCAATAGTAATATAAGATGGGCCTAGAGACATGACTAATGAACAGAGGGTATGTTATTTTAGTGCCAAGAATGTCTGCATTGTTTATTTTGGACCCTATATTGAAATTGGCATCTTTTTTACTTTGCGTGAAATTGGCCAAATTGCCAATTTCTGACCACTTTACTGGGTAGTTCAAATCGTAAATGGGCAGTTTCTTGTACTCAACTGATAGAAAAAATGGAGTTCTAAAGAAATAGCTATGAGTTTGGTCAACTGGAACAACAGAATTGGTCAAAAACAGGGCTCAAAGTCGGCAAAATCGCTGATGCGTACATGTCGCCGAGACCGCTAACTTCGCGGGAGCGTAATTCCGTGAGTTTTCGACCAAATTTCGTACTTTTGGTGTCATTACCATCGGGAAAAGATTCTCTATTATTTCATAAGATTTTTTTTTTTTTTTCCAAAAAAATTTTGTGACATAGAATGAGTTTCAGAAAGGGGCCAACAATCAGGGTCAACAATCTAAATTAATTTTTTATGACTAAGACTCAAAATTTGGTCACTTCAGAAATCTCTGATATTAGCCTAACACCAGATGGCATCGAAAAGACAATTAAATGTCATAGTATATTTTGTGTGGGTGGAGTGGACAGGTGGGCTATCTTACCTACCACACCTGACCTCGTACAATAAACACTACTCATCTCTCACCCAACATTAAGACTACAAATATTT